GTAGGCTTTGCCCGAGTTGTCTTTCTTATACGTACTGTTTATTTCAGACGTTTCCCAAAACGGGTGCTATTGGACTTGCCAGACAAGGAAGCCCGCCGTAATCTCTTGAAGGCGACGCTTGACAAGCACAACATGTCTGCAGGCCTTGACGATTACGATATAAGGTCTGCTCTTACTTTTCCGAACTTGTGTTAAATGAATGTTGTTCATTAAAATTCTCAAATTATTCATTAATCAAGTCGGATAGCATCACATACGCATGGCTATTCGAATTCGGATCTCGTTGCGTTATGTAAAGAAGCTGCGATGGTTCCAGTAAGGAGCATTGATCGAAAAAAATTGGTCACGTGTGATGAGACGAAGTTGAGAAAGCTTAGGGTAAGCTCTCAAATAAATAACTACCCTGAAACTGCCCATTATTTTCATTTAGTATTCGGACTTCGAGCAAGCTTTATCAGTAATCAAGCCGTCATCGAATATCCGCACCCTTAATGCCTTAACGGACTTCGCACGACGTGCCGGACAGGGAGGGTGACATTTCGAGAACTAATCGTGTCTTACGGGTTTTCAAAGGTTTTCGGGGTCTGTTTGCTTGGTGAATTTGTACGTAGACCTCGATGGTGAGTGTAGCTTCTGTAAAGGTAGAAACCTTTGACATTGCTGATTTTTTACCTTTTGGCTTGCTTTCGGCAACGCAGAAAGAGCACGAACTTTCATGAGCTTATTGACTATATTTTCAATATTGGCATGTGATATAGTGATTATTATGTTCGTGGAATATTATGTGTCCCTATGAAGCAAAGTAAGGGGTTTGTTGGGGCAATGCTTCCTTAAAGCCACGTCCATATTTTGTGAATTCGAAGATCCGGGTGATTTGAGAGATTGCATGACGAGGAAAGTGTACAGGGGGGGGGGGAAGTCACTTCGACCGAGTCACATATCAGCAAAGTTTTCGCAGCCCAGACAGAGGACGTGGATACGAGTACCAGGGCGGAAGATACCCAAGATGTTCCTCGATAAGCAGGAGCTGGCTCTCGCCCATCACCTTCATGTACACTAATTCATGTCACCTCCAAACAGCTGCGTAAGTATGGAGTCACCCATGTTACCTGGAGACCAGTACTCTCGATCTGGAAGACCTCCAACATCGAGCAGCTCCGACAACGTCGCTACGGTCTAGGACATCATCTTCACCACAGTCGCCAAGGCGCGGGTTGATGGTATGGACCGGACGTACCTGGAATGGAAAGACCAATATTTTCTTCGTGGACCCCGGACTGAAGGTGAGCGCTGGCGGTTACATCGAGCAACTCGTGAAGAATATCCTCCTCACATGTCGTCGCCCGTACCTTCTTGGAAACTTTGTACTGCTACAGCATTGGGTGCCACCACATGGAATCGAAGGGCGTTGGGAAAACTCTTGCCTACTTGGAATGGAAGGGCGTTGAGTACCTGAAGAAGGATGGAATATCTAAGCAGGTATGCAGGTCACCTGAACTGAACTCCTCAAATTAACGGTTCTGGCGAAGTTCAACAGGGTGGTCTACTGGCGGAGGAACCAAGGACCTAGCTGAACTCAAGCACCGAATCACGGTCGCGTGGCGAATCTCTCGATGACGCTCGTCCAGAAGACTGTGGTGGAGTGTCAGAGTGTCGTGATAGTATTTAATAGGCTCTTTAATACGGTTGTGAAAATTTCGCGATCGAGATTGCAAAACGAAAGTGTAACTTATAGCGCCTCGAAAGTCAATGAAGAAAAGTAACATTTTTTGCCGCCCCCCCCCCTCCCTGTAGGTATCAGTTTGGTGGCTGCGGAGATTGAACCATCCGCCCGTTCGGGAGACTTGGCGCCGATTAATACTCCTCCATCTCATGGCGCGGGATTGGTCAGCCGAGTCTCCTAGGTTGCGGATCGCTTAGTCTGCAGTCCCCAGATCGATAACTACACTTTTGTCGTCGCGCAATCCCTCAAGTCTCCCACATCGCCAAATTCGTCCCAGTTGGAAAAGTGATGGAGACGATAAACATTTTTTTGTTTTGTCCATTCGTTCCTCACTGTTCCCTTTCTTTCCTTTTCCTTCCACTCTCAATCAGGCGCTTTTTTGACCGTCTAGAGCGCTTTCCACTTCGAGGGAAACGTCAGGACATGATGTTCCGCCGCATGACAGACATATTCGTTTAAACACCGCAGAATTTTTGTAATGCGAATACCGCGGACATTCACATTCTACTAACAAACTTAGACATCGTTCGCGATCAACGGGTGGGCGGGGACAGGAAATGGCGACATTGTCGCAGTTACCCCGCCTGCATCATTGTCAAAAACTGAAGCAGGTGGCAGCTATCTTCGAAATAACGTCGCTCCGTGTAGATCCAGCCGTAATCTGAGAAATTGCTGTAACGGATTGTCTGGCAGCTCCTGGGAGTCGGAATTCTGATCTCTGTGCGTTTTCTGCTGGCACACTTTAGTCAGCTTGCGATTCTTTTTATACGGTGTATTTTAATGATTTAATTTTAGTAAAATCAATGAGATTTCTTTTCGCGGATATCTTCAGTGCTGTTATTTTTTCTGTTATTTATAGAACGTGCGTACACTTTCTTGGTACTCTCTGATAGTCAGTTTTTTTACATTACCCGATAAAATTTTATATCTTTCTGAAAGGTTCAACTGAGTACAATACACTGTGTCATGCATTGAATTTTGTTTTGTTTGTTCAGCAATCTCTTTACCTCTGCTGTTCGATTACTCTGTTGAATTCGGATAAAGTGTCGCTGTGCTCTTTTCGAAGTAAATGCTTAGCTGTCTTATCGTAGCAGGTCGCCCATGGCTGAACAGGTGCGGTGGAACAAGGGAAAGCTCCTATCAGAGCTGATAAGAAATATTCAGTGTCTAAGGTCCGTACAATGATTTGCTATCAACCGGTTCTGCCCAATGTTTCGTTGATTCCAAGTGCTACGGCTGCGCCGGGTCTGAATAGCGCTTCAAACTTCACGACTGGGAGAAATAAGGGAACCGCGCCGCTTGGCATGGCATAGGTATCGAACGGGCGTTGAAGGATAATTAGGAGCAAGGGCACGGTCCTTCGCTATGGTGAAAATTCTGGCAAAAATACGCCGCTCACCCGCCCCCCTACCGCCTAATTCCTCGTTCTGGTATACGACACGCCCCCCTTCCTACGGCTGCCTACCATCTTCATAAGTTTCTCAACTTCCTAAAACTTTTGCAAATTTCCAGGAATTTTCCCTTTTCCAGAATCTTCCTGGTCTTTATAGTTTAGAACTCAGGCTGTGCTATCACCTAGGGAGTGGAATCAGCCATAAGAGAAAAGCTTTACTCATGGCCTATAAACGACTCCCTGCACTGTATACTGAGCACCTGCTGGACTTCTCCACCATAGCGTTCATTATCTGGTAGGTGAGAAGCGGGATCGACGCTTGGGAGAATACGCGCCAAAGGAGCGGATGTGTATCGATCGACACCCGCCGGGAGCGTTTTGGGAGAATCGGAGAATAGGAGCATGCGCACAAGGATAAGTACAGGTGCCGATCTGGCGTTCTCGGGGAATAAGAGAATGGAAAAATTGCTTGACTTCCATTCACATTTTTTTGTGCAAATTCCACTAAGAAGCATTAAAGCACGCTTCTTTCGCATTCCACCAAAACTTTAGATCGATACTACTCTTTCTGTTGAGCGAGCCATTCTTCGCCATGCTCTTTTTATCCGAGTCGCAAGTATGTGAATATGTGGTATGCAAAGTAGTAGTAGATATTTGGTCGTTTACGCTTGCCCCCATCAGTATTATCACAAGAAAGCGCTCTAGTGGCAAAACACAGGATAGTTATGTTCAGGGCCTGGTTATTGCGGTGGGGATAAACAGTATTATTCGGTGTCCTCTGCAACCCTAGCAGCTCTCCCTTTGAATTCTGTTTACAAAAATGTTCATAGGAACACCTCATTTCAGGCTAGATCTAGAAGACGAGGGAGGGGGGCATTTTGTACTATCATTGCTTCCCTGGTTGGTTTACAAGTCCCTTTCTAGTGAAACCTTTGAACTCTTGTGAAGCTGGAGCAAGTCATGTAGCCTTCATGGTGAAACCTGTCAACTCGAGAAGAGGCTGCCTAGATTGGCCGACACCTCGGGTGGGAAGTAGCGAAAGTGCAAAATGCCCCCTCCCCCCGTCGTCAAACTGTACCCAAGATCTCTTCGGTCCAGCTGACTAAAAGCACAAGTAGGTAATTTATGAAGATCATCTTTACGAACTACAAATTCGTCTCAATTTGCAGGAATCTTTTTCTTCAGAACAGGTTCTGGGTTCTGTGGAGGTGGCGCTGGTTTCTTTGATCTGAACACATTGTATTAAACGTCATGATTAAATGCACTACGCCTTGCTTCTTTTTTACATTGATGATTGAGTTCCTGGGAGAGGTTGCTGCTGGGACGGAGCGATTGCGCTCTGTGCCGCCATTCCCGCACTCGGTCGACTGCTTCCGGCAACGTGAGGGACTTGCCCATTGCCTGGAAGGATTTAGTAGGATTTTTCAAGAAAAAAAAAAACCTTATATGGTTTGACTTTCACCTGCACCGATACCACCCATATACCTGATCACTGCTTCATGATTTGCGATGTACTGATAGAGGAAGAATTGTTGTGTTTTTAAGTGCTTGCAAACCACATTAACGCCGATTACAACTCGTAGCGGTGTGTCATACAAATAGCTACATCTTACAGGGAAAGTGAGCAAAGTTGCCGAAGAGTCCTCTAGCGAGGTCTTCTAGCTGATTTTCAGCATCAGACGAGAAGCGGGAAACGAAGTCACCTGCGAGGCGCGCGGAGAGAGCGTAGAGACATGGGCGCGACGAGAGTAGCAGAAAGACGAGGGAGACGACAGGCATTGTTTATGGTTGATTATGGCGTATTGTTGTCTCTCATAAATGCTAGCATGCTATACCGTTTACTTTGGGAGGGTGGCCAGGGGACAGCGCGGTAGCGCCATTGGCGTTTGTACCCTACCGCCTCGCTGACTGAATGCGGCCGCGAAAAAGGGTAACCAGGCTTCTGTCAACGAGCGCTTCTCTCGCTGTGAGGGTCATGCTTCATCGCATTTACTGCTGCGCGTATAGCTGAAGGATGTGATAGAGAAGGGGAAGCAAGGAAGATAAGAAAAGAATGGTTCATAGAAAAAAATAATGGATGGGACGCAAGAGGAAACGATGCGCGAGTTTTGCGCGGCGCCAGATCCCTTTCCCACCTCTCAATGAACGGCGGAAACAGCAAAGAAAACGGGCTGGCGCCGCGTCGGAGCTATGCCTCGCTGACCGCCCGGCTGGCTTTACTGATGACGGCTGTAATTGCGGAATGCTCCTGTAAGGCATGCACTTGTTATCTGCGTCACGTTCTCTTCCTATCCCCAGCCATGCCACCTGGGTAATTAATGTCCGCTGATCAATTTTGAATTATCGCTCACCATGCTGATAATACCGCACCATCCATTAGGATCGATTTTTTGCAGTGGCTTTCTTAGGTGACGAATGAAGAAGAACTCACAACCAAGCACAATCACTGAGAAAATCTGAAAGTAGCCCTCCTACAATTGAAAGAAAGCACATTGCCCCATACGGTGAGTACCAGAGCTATTTAACAGTTCATTGTCAGTAAGGTAACTAACTATGCCTCCAGCGAGAAGGAAAAACGCCGAGAGAAAGTTCTCTATTCCCAAAGGAGCGGAGTGCGTTTGACTGTGACTGTCCGGCGAGCATGCTCCCGTCAGCCAAAAGTTGGCTAGCCGTTCAAGATCACCTAGAATCCATTGGGATCACATGATGGTTGTTACTCAGATACTACATCTTACCTTTCTGTTGGTACTGTATGCCATGTATTGATTGACCATTGCAGTATAGGGCGAGTTCTTGGGGAATCCAAAACCGTATCCTGTTCTGCTTGCCCATTTGCCGACCTGAACTCGTACTTCTTAGGAAAAGCAAGCTTCCAGGAGGAGTGTGGTAACGTCGCACTCACCATCATAAGCTCGCAGTTAGCGTCTTTCCCAGCCCAATAATCGAGTACGACCGCATCGTAGATGAACGCGTCAAGACCTCTTGAAAAAAGAGTTAAAATCTGTACCTCTCACAGTGTCAGTAAGATTGGGAGAGTAAGGTATGGCACTGGAGGAGGAAAGCAAGCTGAATGATCGGTTTGGGTGCTGGGGCGCCATTTTGCCGTTGCAAATCTAGTGATCCAAACGATCTCCAACGAGAGGTTGGATTTGGTCTAGGTAAAACTAATCGAGAAATTTCCCAATTCCATGCGCTTTTAGTCCTTTTACTCAGCCGCTCTGCGACACTACCACTTCTGATTTTTCGATAATTGATTGAAAGTATATACCCTCGTCACGCCCTACCGGCAAGGTTCAGGCAAGGTTTGATTCAGTTTTGTTTCCCGCAGACGTTGCGGGACGCGCTCCTTGGGCCAGCCGCGTTTGGCGCAGCGTACAGTCCGTTTTTCAAGCCAATTGTTCCCGGGTACTCCCTCCACCAATCGGTGGAGAACGATTCGTAGCCGCGCCGGGTCCAGCTCCTTGAAGCGCCTCAGCATCCGCAAAGAACAAGACTGTATGCGCTTCTTGACGTTTTTGACGGAGCTCAACTTCTGCTCTGAGCAGTAATACTGTGTAGATATGTAAGAAGTGTTATTTAAGGCATATTCCGCGCTTATTATGTGGGCGTGGTCATTTAGACACGTGCATCCTTCTCACTGCTGAACCCCTCCTTTTGAGATCACAATTGGAGGGGCACACCATTGGGGAAACTGCTGCTGGAGTGACTCCGCCTCACCTGGGAGCCGATTATGTCTTTGTTTGGATGTCAATCTGAAGTGTAGCTCAGCAGGGTCTGCGGGGCGTCGCAAGCTCTCGTGACCTTCGCACTAGGAAACTGCAAGCTTCTGCGTGTCGAGTCAACTAGCTAGGAATTGCTACTTTGCTTCCTGGTGCGATACCGTGCGTTGGATCTCCTGAACTACTCCCTTGAAGTGGTGATCCTTACTGATTTCAAGACGATAGAGCTCACGAGGCGCATTTCCGCTTGGTGGGAGCATGATTTCATCGATCTCTCCCGATCCTTCTTCTGGAGATCTGTGAGATCCCACCAGGCTATGCAATAGCTGGAACTTTGTTCCCACTTGACAAGAGTCTACAAATCCCAGCAAAGTGACACTTGTAAATTATCAGAAACTAGCAAAAGTGCAAAATGCCTCCCAACAACGACTCACTCGTTCCTGACGGCATCTACACCGGCCGAGATGTTGTCGTAGAAGAACTTATTCTTCTTCACATATTCGTGCATTTGTTTCCAATTCCGTTTCATGGTCTCATGCGTATTTCCGCCGTCAACAGTGCCATAACGGAAGGGTGGTTGGTGCATGTCCGGATGAGTGATCTGGAAAACTCGGAATAAGCGAGTTTGTACGGGAACTAAGTAGTCCATAGTTACTCACCAAAGGATCATGGATCCCACTGAGATCATAAAATTGCACTCGAGTAATCATGAATGCTGCCAAATTCGCCGTGTAGACTGCCAGAAATGTGAGACCAAAAGCCGCCCATACCAGGGCCATACAGCGGGACACCGTTGATTTTGGGACATCTGGAAACATTACTTACTGTCCAAGTTTTCACCGAGTGCTGACAGACACATTCTGTGAAGACCAGGTGGGCGGGGAAATGGACAAAAGTTTTTGACAGTTGTGCCATTCTCACTGATGCTCCCCCTCTCAAAATTAGGAGGGTAGCATTGAGAAAGGCAAAATGGCTGTGTGTGTCGCCGCCTATTTCTTTATTAAATCGAACATCGCGGGATGTGTTCTGAAGCGCGATTTTTCAAGCCGTCTGTGGTAGTGGGAACATCTAGATTATGACGGATCTCCTGAAGAAGGTACAGCCAGTCCTATGGTGTCATCTAGCAGGTCCTATATCTGAAGAGCTATCTTTTCACCTCTCAGCGGGCGAAGTCTTCTCGAAGGACTTGCTGGAAGTGATGAGAGAATTGTCTTGGACATCAGTCTACTCCATTGGACCGGGTCATTGGTTGGGAAGGTTAGCCGTGGGGAATTATAGTGGTGTTCGCTACGGACGGGGGCGTTCCAGGCGGAGAGCTGAGTTTGGTGCGGCGCCTGTCCGTTTTCAACGGATTGTTGAAGTAGGCAAGTGACAACATTTGGTGTGAAATGGGTTGGTGCTGCTTTAACCGAGCGCCCTGATATGCCCCAGCTTCCACAGCGAACGAGACTGTAACTTACGGCGCGCTGAAAACCGAAGAGTGGTAGTATGGAAACTCAATAAAGCCGTAGAGATAACGAACCTGTGGACACACTGGCACTGAAAAGGGTTGCCCAAACTAGCCAGTACGATCGACAAAGAGAGAACTTGTGATCTGAAAGGATTCTTCAAAGTTACAGAAGCGCGACTAGGACGGTTAAAAGCTAGCACAGACACTCATTATAGATAACCTTCTGTGGGAACATGCTACCCTGGACTTACCTGGAGGCGGATACTTGCTCATGTTGAATGAGTACGGGCTGACCCATTCAAAAATAAAAGATGGAAAGGGCAGCTCCTTGAATCGAGACCAATAATATGATCACCCATGTCGAGTATTCGAAGGGTTCTGAAAGCTGTTGTGAAGGTTCTAGGGTTCAAGGTGAACTAAACTTTGCTATTTGAAGGCAGTGGGCACGGTGGCTGTGGGCGGACGGTTGCTGTAAGCGTGACTGGTGCAAGGGCTGCGAGAGGGCGTTTGGCCACAACCCAATCACCCTTCCACCATGACGCTGGCAACAACCGCCCACCCCCCCACCCCCAGCCACCATGTCCACCGCATTTAAAGGCAGTTGGCACGATAATTTCATGTTCGAAAAAGAGCAAAGGTGCCCAGTAATGCATAGCGAAAAAATAGGGCGAAATGGAGGGCTTCATTTCTTCCGCTGCGGTGCGGCAGTGGACGAGCAACAGTGCGGCGGGCGCGCTGCTTTGGAAGGGTCTACTGATTGAACCGTTTACGGCTGGCAAAAAGCCAGCAGTACGTCCTACGTCGCTCTAGCTTACCATACATCACACGTAGGCACGGGCGGTCCACAACGGCACGTGCTGTGATGCTATGCGTCCGATGGTGGGCGTCCGGGTTGGTATGTTGCTGCTCGATAGGGCGCTGTAAGGGTACTCTCCTTGGAAAAGGCGCTACATAGCGCCTGTTTACGGTCCCGGAATTCTGTCATGCTAGTCGTATTGATCTCACTCGTCTTTAGGGATTTATCGTGCCAACTGCCTTTGAGGAGAGAAGGCTTTTTTCTGACCGAGAAATGCTGTTGGTGAGAGCACTCCGCTTCTGATTTTCACAATGATGGCAATGCCCGTTTCGAGAAATGGTAAGGAGAAGTCGATGTCCCGTGCACGTTCTGAATTCAGCTTCAGAGATGTAACGCACATATCCGCCTTGTTGTTGATCAAATCAGCGATGAGACCGTTCCAGCCACTTTCCTGAATCGACAGCGGCTTAGACAGTAATTTTGATGGTGCAAAATAACAAAAGCAGTAATTACGAAGCGATAATTCTAGTTTCGGACCGGGAGCATCGGCGAGAACATGCCACGCATTTTCCCTTCAGGACATATGATATACGGTATATTTTGCAGAAAGTGATACCGGAAGTTTTGTGTTTTTGCATGCTGCTGACTGAATCTGCAGGCTCAACTGCTCATTGTTCCTTAAGCACTTTTCCAGCTAACCAGTGTATGATTCGATCCTATTTACCTGATCCTCTCTCACCTGTTCAGCCTATGTTTCACTTACCGTTTTTAGACCCCATTTTTCATCTCGCACTTTGTATAGAGTATAGGTGAACGAGGGTCGTTGCCATTGTTGAAGCAAATCGAGCAATAACCAGAGCAGCATTTCCACAGAGTTCCGGTTCTACGTAAATACATGATTGCTCGAATAATGCCATCAAACTGAGCGCTCACTTCTTTCCTTCTCCGGGAACATCGATCTCTTCATCGCCCCAGTCGCAGATACTGCCTTGATTCCCTGGACAGCGCCCTGTATCCGGGTCAACATCAGAGACTATGATGAAGGGCGGTTCGTGAAGGGTAACAACCTAGGAGTCTCGATTCAGATAAGAGGGTTAAGCGTGCTTGAAGCGGACCCTACCTTGACATGAAATTTGTCGGCTGTTCCTTGCGGTGGATTCGCTTTGTCGCCCGGCCATTCCACATCGGCCATTCGAAGTTCGTTGTTGGTGAATATTCCCACCTGGACATTGAAGGTTTTATAATATTAAGTGGCTGCTAGAATGCACTCATCCTCAGTGAGTCACAGAGACATCTACATTTTCTTTCGTTGAAGACGCATGCCGTGATAATCAAATGGGCGGGGATCATAGAGCATTTCTGAATCGAGAGCCTGGCGTTACTAAGCCCAAAGAAGGGAGAGGACGTGCATGGAGGTTTCCTTGTCTTCAGCGGTGATGCACACCACTAAAGGCAGAGGACAGCGATGACAGATGGAGACGTTACTTGCCAACCTCATTGTGGAAGGCTGTGCGAGAGGGCGTTTTGGCCACACCATTCGTCCATCCACTAATAACGCTGTCAGTGACACCGCCATCTCAGGTGTACCTCTACACACAACTGCCTCTAACGTGAGAGCAGTGCTTCAGACGCGGATCAATTGAGAAACATGGATCCCCAGTGAACGTCTCTTTGTGAACTTGGTTCTGACTATGTCTTAATGCTCTCACCCTTGTCCATAAAGAAGCCTTTTGGATTTTTCCGTAGATTTGATATCTGCAGCATAGAATTTTTCAGTTTTCCATATTCGTTGAAGGTGTAGAAGAAAGAGTCGTGACCGTCATCGACGTGGAACGGATTGCCCTTCACAAACGCCATCTTCATTAACCTTAAGATTGATACTTAAGAGACTCGGTATTCATTCATTCTAGCCTCTGTCAACGGGCAATTGCTTTAATTATTGTTCGCTCTCAGCGGCAGGAGTGCTGAAGCATAACTGGATCTCACTATCACCAATGAGACTCTTCCGCCGAAGTCACCGGGATTCTTTTTTGTCCCAAGTCCGCAGCAAGACCGTTCCCAGCGTTGGCACCGTACGTTCTTCAAACCTTAGACACCTACTGTGGGAACATCGCGTTTTCTACGTCTCAAAAAGGGTCAGAATGGTGGGACACATTAATGGAACGCGTAAAATGTTTTAATGTGTATTGACCATACTCGTAAATTCTCTCGCCATCGTCCCAACTGGGTGGTCCATCCTCATCTCTGCAAGAAGCCGTTGATTGAAGCGATATCGACTGATTCGGTGGTAAAAGAAGAAGCGCAGCTCCGAATAGCTGGAAAAGTTCCATTTAATTTAGTTGAGGTAAGCCTGCTTGAGGAATTGAAGCTAGAAGTTTTTTTTCACAAGAAATCGGCAAAAAGAGTTTGGTCAAACCACCTTTGGTGGCTAATTGCGATGATGCAGGGTAGCGACATCGTCACGTGGAGCAACATCGCATGGCACTGAAACTCCATATTTCGTCATGGAAATCGCTACTAAAGCGATTTGATTAATAATCAGAGAGTAGTGTGTTGAGGGTAAGTTTTCCGCTCAGATAAAATACTTCCACAAAAGTATCTATTGCGGTACGACCCTTCCCCCCCGAATCACGATCATCGCTGTCAAATTTTTCGAAAATTTGCTCTCGGCTGTGGAGCGGGGATATCATCGATCATGTAGGAATCAGTAACGATTCCCCCTCCACGATCCTACGTTCTGAAGGTTTTCTACCTAAATTCCCCCGTGGACCAATTCCGACAACGATCTAGTCTGAATCCCGAAAAGTAGGTCCTCGAAGGTAAATGAACCGGGAGAAATATGTGTTAATATGTCTCACCTGTATGGAAGTTCACGGACAACATGCCTGGCTGAACATGGCCGGTGACAGAAGTTTGAGTACTGCGGACCGACTGGGTACCAATCCATAGATATTTGTCCGATGTGAGTCCTAGTGGGGTGGCTCTCTAAGAAAAGAAAATGAAATGTTGTGAAGGGAAAGCAAGTGAAGGGATTATCGGCGCTGTTTGACTTGGAAGGGGCATTTCGCACTCCTGCTGCTTCCCACCGACGTATCAAACCACCTAGAGAGCTATTTCATGAGCATACAAGGTTGACAGGTTTCACCTGCTCGACAAACTTGCTCCAGGTTCACAGAAGTTCACAGGTTTCACCAGAGTTAAATCTGTAAACTGGAAGCAGCGAAAGTACGATATGCCTCTCCCCCACGTCGCTGAACTGCGCCGAAGTTCCTTTGTCAGGGCACATGATGGCTGTGGAAATCAGAAGGGGCAGGGTATGGCACGGCCTTTCACCTCGGCAGAAATTGCCAATTGACAGAAATTCTTCTGTTTACTGCTTCTTCCTTCCTTCCTTCTCCCCCACCCCCGCCCTCTCAACAGCGAACTTCAGGGAAAATTTATGGGCAACTCGTGGAAAGTGTCATACAGAAAAAACAGAAAACTTCGAGGGAGTCATATTATGAGTGTTTTTGCAGAGCACAACAATGTGCTCTGCACGGGATTGGGTTCGTTGGTAGGCAAATAATTGAGCAACTGGTAAGAGCGAACCAGTCCGATAACTGAAACCCTGTGTGAGGGCGATGGGAACTGAAACGAGGCAACAACATACTTCGAAAATGGCTCTTGCTTGTGCGGCTGTGGCGTAGAGCAACACAATTTTCGACTGGCTCTTCTTCAATTCGACCAGTTGTGTATCAATATCAGTCACATTCGACGTGTCCAGTTGGCTATAGAACATCACTTCGAATCTGTAATGGATTCTATCTGCCCAATTATAAGATCCACCATTTAATTAATGTGAAATCGGTAGATGGTTCCATCGTCCGGAAGCCCTTATCAAAGCCCTCACTCGCTGCAAATGATGAGGCGGTTCCATGCGGCCAAATTTGGCGCGCCGCCAGCCCGTTTCCCATTAGTAGTTGAAACGGATAAGTGACAATAATTAGTGGAAAACAACTGATATGAACTATACGCTGCAGTTTGTTTGTTTGCGAAAGAAAAAAATGAAAAGAAGCAGGCTGGCATCGTGCCAACCCTTTCCCCCCGACACGCCCCAACATCCACAGCGAATATTCTCCAATTTATATGAAGTTGATGAATTTTTCGATCATCCGCTTCTTTTTAGTTAGAACAACTGAAAGAACAGCTATGGAGAATCATTCTTAAAAGTATCACTATGACCTTAAAGACCCTTATAAGACAAGTAAAAGCGAATAAGTTCCACACGTCCATGTAGCTTAGTACGCTTGGAGGGCGCATCCTCGGGCTGAGTTGCTAGAGCGGTGGCTGTAGGGTGCTGATACAGTCTTGTTCGCTGCGGTTGATGAGTCATGTCAGGGAGATGGAATTGGCGCCATGTCAGCCCGTTTCTGTTTTTATTTTTTTATTTTTTCGGCACACGACAAAACTGTATCATATCGTTCGTATCAGTCGCTTCCCGCAGCCCGTTCTCCACCAGTTCTCGCTTACCCGTTTCAGCGACTGCTGGAGGACGAGCTGGCCGGGCGCCGGACTCCGCCTCACCCCCCTGTCATCTGCAGCGAGGAATACTGTAATTCAAGCAGGCGCGTGTTCATTCTGTGCATAAGAGAACGCAGGCAGCACTGGAAAACCTTGCATTGCTGACACGGCAACGATCCAAATAGAACGTAGCTGTCATCGCGCTCACAACCGAAACCGCAGGGATAACCTTTTCGCAAGGGGCGATATTGATCAAATAAACCTAGCCCAATCGGCTACGTATGCCCCACAGAAAAAGGGAAGACGAAGTCCTGCCAGGGGACATCGTTTTTGGGTATTCCCCAACAAGAGGGGTCGTAATTGGACGCTGGGGAGAGGGGGGTTGTAGTTGACCTGAGATTTTTTTGATGGCTGATTTTCCTTACTTCTGAAAAGTTGTGAAGAGAGGTCGTAAATGTACTTTGTTGGAGAGTCGTATTCGCTTTTTGACCTTCTGAGAAAGGTTGCCGGGTCCTTTTTCATGTGTAGTTTTCATGTGCAGTATATACCCCCTCGCCCCGTCCCCTCCTCACCGCTCGACAGTTCGATGATGAAAAAATGGGGGGGGGGTCGTACAAACTCGACCAAAATCCCGACTGATGATGTGCCCTCACTCCTGCTGACCAGTTTGGCGTTATTGTCACTACATTCGCTTTATTTTTTGTAAAGCAGAAATGCACGACATGGCCTGACCTTAGAGTTGCTAGAGCTCACTAAAAATATTTCCAAAGCAAGTTGGCGCCACTCTGGCCAGTCGATTGTGGAAAGCACTAGCTCACATCGCATATCTCTCGGTATTTCTCTGTAGCACTTCCTGAATTCCCTTACTTGGCTGATTTGTTACTAGCTTCAGCGATTTCATGACGGACACTTTTGATGAACTCCGATGATCCAGCCATCTGAGAACAGACCACACCAAATTTCGACCAGCTATACCGTCGTAGAAGAGCGATCATTGCCCTGTAATAGAGGATCCTTTTTCCAACCGCTTCGAACCATAAAAATCACTTTGACCTTATTTGATGTTCTATTGGAGGTGCCATCTGGATAATGCGGAAAGGTGTTAGGTCCTGAAAAAGGAAGAATCCGTGAGTAATAGATTCCACCAACTCTCGTTACCTTGCCAAAAGTGAATCCGGAGTTGTCGGCATTCCAGGCAATTACTGGAATTCCCGTGTAGGCGACAAGAGTGAGGAAGTACTGCTCTGCCGATGTTGTAGAATCATAGGTTTCCGAAGCAGTGACAAAGATCACCAGGGCTACCTGAATGCTGCTTATAGCATGCTTGGTATTCATCTGATTGGTAGTGGACTGGATCAGATGAAGTGAACACGAATATGCGCCATCTTCCACTTCTGGGAATTATTTTTTTTCATAAGAGGAGGGTCAAATTTGTCACGCCTCAACTACGATACTGCACCCGGTCTTAATATATAAAGCGTCGCCTTGATCGAGAACTCTTCTGTGGGCGAGCACATTGCCGTTCTTCAGGTTTCCTTTTAGGCACCCTTCCCTCTACTTATAAGGAGTCAACGATAGTTGTGGAGAGCTCTGGAGCGGAGTCTAGGCGGTCAGGGTGCGGCAACGGTATGAGTCACTACGACTTTTCTCCTCCTCAAGCCCGTCTTCGGCACGATCCCCCCCCTCGCAACCTTCATTCCATAGTGCAATAACGGGAAGTGTCACCTGCTCACCTCACTAGCGCTTGCCGCGACGCTAGGGAAATAGACTGTAGAGCGCGGCTAAGACGAAAAAAAATTAGCAATTGGAAGAAAGTTCCCCTCGAGACTTAGTACGAACTCTTCTTTCTGAGTAACCCAAATACGATTCCATGATGGGTTCTGCTCAACAATGAAATGCGCTGTGGGCGATCAGCCGTCTTGCTGACTTCCATCAGATTCTTACCAACTGGAGTGCGCTCATTCCACCTACGTCAAGTCCAGAGCCTTCTTCTAGCGCAGTCTTACTTCAGGCTTAATCTTGGCAATAACTCTGAAATGAGGACCAGACTGGAGCCTACGAAATCTAAGCTATGATCGATTGCTTGCAGCGCTACAGAGATCAGTTGACCACAGAGGGCTTTCCCAGTGAACAGTCGAGTTAGTGCCCTTCGTTCAAACTGAAATAACCTTGTTTTTCACAATCGTATGACAAATGCAGTTGAGCACGTCTCTGACGAGGAACATCCCTGTAGGCAAGATGCAGTCCACAGCGCCGAAAGTATACTTGGTGGCCAATCGACGCAGAGATCTAAATCAATAAGACGACAACCGTTCAATCTCTTATGCAAAATATTAAATATTTACGAGATTGATGTGCCATCGTTAATCTTCCGGATGACTTCCTTGAACGCTTTATCATATGCCTTGGAACGGTTCGCATAGTGCTGCAAACATAAGAAATACAAAATGAGCTGATAGCGTGTTGAAATATTACACATATATTCTGCTAGACGACGGGTTAGTGAATAAGTAGGTAACCCGGTGACTAAGAAATCATGTAAATAAATAAACATGTGAAAATGGTTGTGGAAACATATTTATTTTATGAATTTCTTGGGCCACGCTATCTACGTGTGTTGGCGTGGCGATACAAGTGACGTCATAGGCGTGGCGTCTACGGCAGGACCTGGCTGAAATGCCAAAGTCCCTTCATAAATGCTAGTGTAAAACCCAGGAAATCCTAGAGAGTCGAAGGCGTCGCACAACGGACAATCCATATATGAGACCAGCAAGAGGCGCGTCTGCGAGAGAGGCTCCAGACGCAAAAGGCATTGTTCACAGTCTGCGGCGCAAGCGTTTCTCCAGAAAGAAGCGCTCCAGCGAAAAGTTTTCGA